ATTGTCTATTGAATAGCCTCTTATGAACGAATACTAAACCCTTATCACGAATTTTCGTGAGAACGTTTTCGTATGTCGTCGATATTCACCTGACGTAAAGTTCACTAAAAAATCTCATTTTTGTCAATGACATTCCAACGTTCCTTTTCTTGAACTGTGACGCAAATATCCGTGATAGACTCCCTAAATAATTGATGTCGTGTCGATAAAAAAACAAATTTTGTATCGAAATTGCTTCTCTAGTTCATAAAAGTTCACATACATATTCAAATATATCCGATGGCATTTGATATAATTAAACACGTATATTTTATTACCAAAAGGCCAAATAATCAAAATAAAATATGCAAATAACAAGGTCTCATAAACCAATTTAATACCATATCGTGGATTTTCTACCACAAAATTCGAATTTAAAGTTACGTAACTTTTGTCACAAACGTGAACTGAACAATGATTGACATGCAGAAGTGTCACTGGATTGATTTATTATAACATGGTTACAAATCATTTGTACCATTTCAAAGCTCTTCATGTTTCTATTGAGAGGGAATATGTGCCAAGTGTGACATAACAGTAATACATTCCAATACTGAACGTTTTGAAGTTTTAAAGTCATTGCCAAATCAGATCAGACATAGACGTATCTAGATTTTAATTGATCATAACTCTGCGTAGAGATAAACTAAAACGTCATGATTAAAATATATATACCAGTGTTTTTATTTTATAATTAAAAGGACAGTTTAGTTCTATTTTTTTAAAACGAACATCTGTTAATAAAAGGAAATACTCTGTATCTCAAAGAATATTTAGAGCGCGATTGTGCGATTGTCTATTGTTTCTTGTTAAACTGTTTAGTTGCACAACTAAAAATCAAGTAGTGTGCGCACCTCCATATAAGGTCATAGAAATCAAAGCGCGATTGAACAGTTGTGCGATAGTTTAGTCAAAGGTGTGCGAGCACTCAGTGTCTGAAGACGTCTAATCATGTATCGTGACTTTCATCCATGATTAGTGTGAACAGCACTTAACATTGATTAATCACTTTATGTAGGCGGGTACGATGTAGAAATTTCATTGAGCAAATAGTTGTATCGCGTGTTTATCGCTATATAATTTTGCTATAACAATGATGATTCGATAATAATTACGTTACGATTTATTTTAGATAATATTTTTATATTTAAAGAAATATTAGACATTAAAGGGAGTGATGACTGAGATGACGTATGATAGAGTTATGTGGAGGACAAAAACCTGTTGCGCCGACCTTACGGCAGTAGGATAAGGAGATGATGATGATTAGACATATAGAAGAGTGGAAAAGGGCAGGTTGATAAAGAAATATTCTCAAATTAATAGCAACCGTCGAAAAGGATCCTCGGTCAAAACATTTATAGAAAAACCAAGTTTTTTTCGTTGCTAAAAACTCATAGTACCATGATTGTTGATCAAAATTCATTTCGTAATTTCCTTGATATTTGATTTTTAAATTTAAATGCAAAACATATACTTAATTTAATATAACTTCGTATCAGGCAGTGTATCCTTAGGGAACTCTATAATGAGAACATGTACATGTATCTACGAGAAAAGGAAAAATAATCTCAAAACACGAAAGCGACGTAGAGAGAAGATTGCGTTCTTTTATATATTCTATTTGTTAAGGAATAAGATGAGTTTGAACTTAAGATATTGAGATGACTATTCTATGTTACTAATATTGAGTGCTAAGATACTAAAAAGGTTATATTAGTCAACCTATGATACTCTTTCATCTCATATTCGTTGTTAGATTTAAGATTGGCAATTTAGTTAACATTACTACTATAATTTACTATTATTTTATTGCACTGAATAATAATAATCTAAGCTGTAATTATTAAACATTATAGTAATTATATAAATAAAAAGGGTTGATTATAACGAAATCAGGGCGCCATAACAAGTGCTAGGGAAGGAAAATGCTTCAGAAATATCGCGTGACCACGAAAGGGTTATTTCGTCTGTCGAAATAAATCCACCAGCGAAAGAAATAAATTGTTCAGTAAGTTACATTTTACTTTTTTAAATTACAAAAATAATAAAGTCACATTGTAGTACAATACAACTTATAAACTAAGAAATAAAATATAGAATTCGAAATTCAAAATTTTATTGTTCATATAGAAACACGAGACAACCGTTTTATTTCTCAATTTTTTTATCCGAACAATACAAAAAGGTTACTTCAATAAAATTAATTTAATTAATTAAATTTGAAGTGTTGTTATTTACTCTTTACCCATTGTCTTCGCTTTTACATTATTTTTTCCTTTTTAGTAACAAAATCTATTTTTTATCACCTTCGATGGTAATCTAAATATAAACATAGTATAATGAATTGTTGGTCTGTTTGTTTAATAACTTCAAATGGGTCGTGCGTTTTTGTCGCGAGCGCGAGATTTAAGCGACGTCACGGCGCGTCTGTGCGGCCGCGATGCGCTCTCGCCTTGACATCGATATGTGCCAGCCGCACATCAATATGTTGGAAATTATGACCTTTGTATAATTAACGGAATGATATTAAAAATCAAAATATCCGTCAGTTTCTATACCAACCTATCTTTAATTAAGTGTATTAATTCTTAACAGGGTTTTCTTTTTAAGCGCAGATCTAAAGTACATATATAGAAGTGTCTTAACGTACTACCATAAATACAATCATACTAATATTAAAAATGCGAAAGTTTAGATCGATGAATGGATGGATGTTTGTTAGTTTGTAGACTAAACGGCTGAACGTTTTTCGATAAAATTTGGTACAGATGTAGAGGATAGTCTGGAAGAACGGATAGGCTATTAACTTTTGTTTTTAATTTCACGCGTACGGAGTCGCGAGCGAAAGCTAGTGCCTTATTATTTTGTACGATTAATAATAGCAGTGACACTTTGTCTATATTCTATTCGAAATAAGTACAATTGGATTTAGATTTATTTTACTTATTGAAGTGAATGTGTACACATCAGAGTTGAATATGTAATAACTATAAAACCTATAGCAAAATAACTGGATATATCTAATAAGATTAGGAGATGAATTTATAATATATACGGCTTCACTTATATGTTAACATAGGTGTAAATGTTATAAACATAGCCTATACATAAAACTTATACGTTTATCCCAGTGTACCTTTAAATATTTTCATTTATCTTGTTCTCTTTACCTTCCTCTTCTAGTATTTTAATTAAGTGAATTAGATAGTCGGTAAATAAGGGAAGAAAACGTCCCTTTTCTGACCATTAAAGACATACATATACAACACAAAAGTCGAACTTGTTCGTTATTTTAACTTGAATTCTTTCACGCAAATTAAAAACTATTATTTTTATTTTATTTTACAGTATTTAAACGCATAAAATTAAAAGCGTTTCAAGGTTAAAAAATAATCGCGTAAGTGTAATTACTTAGTTATTCGTCATTCAGAAATTGTAAATTTTTATATTTCTGCACTTTTTATGGAGTTTCAGGAGTTTCAGTTAAGTTTGGAAATTAACTTAGCCGAAAGTAGTTAAAGTAAATTTTAATAAAATTATTGCATTTTTATTAAAATTTAATTAACTTCCTTTTGACTTCCGTTTTTGAATACAATTGTCTTATTCAAAACCCCAATTTACATTCTCTGTTAATATAATTATATTATACTTGTGCTTCCGTATGTTGACCTTAAGTACGGAATAAGTTTATTTTGTTATGTATGTTTTAAACAATAGAAATTGGATAACATTGTAGTTAATTTGAGACAATGAAATATTTAAATAGATTTGCTAGTCGAGTCAAAATGACGCTACTTTTTTTTAAAAAAATAATCATATTGTATTAATTGATTTTAGAACAGTGTTAAAATTAACGAAACTATGTTTCATCTGAAATATAGTTCAAATTAGTTGTATTTTTTTTCGTTTGTGGCAACGTTGTGCCAGCCAGTTTTACTTCAAAACTTTCCTGTTTCGAACACGTCTCAACCGTAGGTATTGCGATAAGAATCTAATAAAGTTAGTTTATTGCTGTCGAAGAGTATGCTGATATGGATTTATTGTTGAACGAAAATATAAAATATAAATGTGTTATTAACTTCTGTATTACAATGTATGTTTTTATTTTATATAAAATAAAATCGATTGCAATATGTTTTTGCGATTGCTGTTGCAATTTTTATTAAACGGCAAGATGACGTCTGTAGAAGAAGAAATGTGATATAAACCCATTAATTAAAAAAACAACCCACATTTGTAGTTTTTCATTATTACATCAAAAATACTTTAACATGCAAAACTTTGTACTTTTACTACGAGCTTTCATTTAGATTCACATGTCGTGATATTTTGGATTTAATTTTGCAATAAAATTCGATGCGTTTCCTGGTTGTTTATCAATGTAAATTGTTTAAATGTTAAATAGTGCTTTAAGGTATATGATTTGATATTAAAATCTATGCAGTTTCGAGCATCGTTGGTCGCGAGATATAAATTAAATGTATAAGAGTACTGTGAACGTAATTACATTATCGTTTGAATGAAACCCTGCTTGAACGCACGCCAAAGCGGCATAGCTCACTACGCCTAGGTCACGATCAAACTGATAGCACATCGTCATTTTTAATTCTGTTATAGTTATAAAAAGTTTTTTTTTAATAGTTTTAAACTAATAAACATTATAAAGACATGTACAATATAACTAAGCTACATAAATAGCACCTGAAACCGAATTTTCATAATTGATAACCGTACGTGTCAGTTATTTCCATCGCGCGTCAGACTGAAACCATGAAAGCGATTCGTTCCTCACTCGTGACTTACGATAGATCACACAATTAGGTAAACTAGAATATGAACGTAAACTGAAAACGTAATATCCAACGCAAACATACCCGGCCTTGAACGTTAAGCGGTTCGAAAATACGACGCGCGTGGAAATAGCCGCGATGAAAATACTAGCACGTGATCGTACGTACCTCGCGTACACTCGTATGGAGAAAATCGATGGTGCTTGTTGCCCGAGGACCTGCGGCCGACTGAGACTCAGCCACTGTGTCAGCAGAACGCCGCGCCCGAACCTCCGCCCGCCCGACTCGATCGCACAGTTTGATTAAAAAAAAAACTTCTTAACTCACTCAAAAAAAATACAGTTCTATCACTCGTGGTTCAGGCGGCGTTACTGAGGTCGAAGTTGAGATCGCGGGTAGCGTGTTGTTTTGCCACGAAGTGCGGGCGCGTGTACACCGAGCGGAGTTGGGCGGCGGACTGGTCGCAGCGAGGCAGCCGGCGGGCCGTCTCTACGTCCCCCTGTCGTCCCCCGCCCCTCCGGTGGCCCCGCGTGACGTAGGCTCCGGCCCGCGATGGTGGAAATTAGCAGCTTCCCGAGCGAGGGTCGTCAGATGTAGGTCACGGGGACTGGGCCTGCACTTGCCCACTCTACCATGCTGATACACTTGACAAGTTTAAGGACGTAACAATGATATTAGTCGTAGTCAGTTGTAGTAATTACCGGAACCGTCTCGCTACGATCTCGTAGCACGACCGCTGACGTAGAGACAAAGGGCTACGTCGGGCCGGTAGCGATATACCTTTCCAAAACATCGCTCGTGTGACGTCAATACGATGGAGTGATTTTATCGCAACTTGAATTTTCGATAAGTAATTAAATTTTTGTTTTAATAATCGATGAGGATAGACCCTTCTTGTAAATAACATCTAACATTATGAAATTATTCTAAAACATTTTCACATTCATACGAGTTTTACTCCGATTTCCTGAATAAGGTAAACTGACGTGACTACTCGTTTAATAGAAGCAATAGAAAGTTTTATATTTCCAAGGTGTACCGTTTCTCAGCGCTCTTGAATGACGTCATTACAGGACGGTAACTTCCGCCCGGCGACTGAAGTGTATAATGAAATCTGTGAGGTGTCGGCCGACAGCCGACAGTCGTGATTGTTAGAGATTGTTAGCTGAGCGAACAGGCGCAGACTATACTAGCCACAGCTGCATTGAACTCACGTGATGTTTGTTACAAAGCAATCATCTCGTTATTACTACTATTATATCTCTATGAAACGCAATAATGCATGAGTCGGTTCTTTTTTTAATTAATTTGTATTAAAGATCTATCTTTTTCACTTAGTGCATTTTTATTATTATTGCTGCCAACGAGTGTTATAACATTACACATATTTATATTGATGTTTATTACTAAGTCAATTAATTAAGTTTGCTAACTTCTCAGCAATATTCATATTGAAACTTTCAAGAGTTAAAATCTGAACTAGATATTTTATGAACTTATGCTGTAGTATTTTGAAATAACAATAAACAAAAGAGCATCATCACGTCTAAACTGCAACTGCGATCTCCCAGCAGACATTTTTCATTTGCGAAATTTGTCGAATGCTCTTAAAACTTCCACCACTAATAGGATAGTGTCGTACGATCTAGATGCACTGCTCATATGAAGACTGTCATAAGTTTAAATGAAATCACTTCGCTTAGCGCGGGTTCAATGAACTGTTTAAGATTGTTACGATTGTTTTGTTTATTTACATGGTAGAGGTCTGATTATGTTTTTTAATTGACTAATACGTAGTGGATGTACGTTGTAAACACGTCTTATATGAAAAAGAAAATAGGAAAATTTTATACATTTTTAAATAATATATTCATTGTATTTCCGAATTAATGAAAAACATGAAACACTATGAAATTTTAAGAAAAATATCACCAAAACTTATAATACTTAAAACGTTTAACAGATAGTGTAGAAGGTCCTCAAAAATAACGACCCTAAAATAACAGAGTTTTAGATATCTGTTATGATGAATGATTCAAAAAAATTTATGATAATGTACTTGTTGACATAAATGTGAACATTTTTATTATTCCACATTATCTAACTTCATTTTATTTTTACGTCACAGACACTATCATAAATAAGTTAATAAAATATTTCAGTAACTCGGTAACCTTTTGAACTTGAGATAAAACATTTATTCATTTATTCAAAAAAAAGAAAGTAGATTTAAAACAAAGGCAACAAGGATTTTTGGCAATAGTGTAGAGTCGGGTTTTAATACCATTTTGTTTTCTTTTTATGCTCTTTTATATGTTAAATCGATAATCCTGTTTATCAAATCCAAGCCAAGGTCAAAATAAATTTGATTCGATTCTGGATAAAGACTTTTATGATCGTCGATAAATCTTTTTTTCTGTTTGACTTTTGCACAAAGAAATCTAAGCACTTCTAGAACGTTACATTTTTTTAAATATTAGTAGATTATTGTTAATTTACTAATTCCTTTAACATTCCAACTAAGCTCTAGGCTTGTGTTAGAATGTTAACAACAATAGTCGAAAGGGGGGATTCGAACCTTCGACCGCAACATCGGTATTCCGTACCCCAAACCATGAGGCTAGAGGCGCTTAACATTGTGTTTAAATATTTATTACAGGAAAGCACATTATGTACAAAGTAATAATTTTCTAACATATCTAGTTAATGTTATGGCCATGGAATGTGATTTAATTAGGCTTTGTATTTGTAGTTTTTACGCTCTTAATAATTTTATACTATTCACCTCTTTTTGTTTAATTATCGGATGGTGAGGATATCTTTTAATATTGCTCTGTCTGGCGTAACAATGATATTTGTGTATTTTTAAAAACTACCACAGCTTACTTAAGATAAGAGATTACATTTACAGACTGGTTTTATCATATTTTGTAAAGATTAGACTTGAGATTTCCTTTTACGATGAATGTTTTTCAATAAAATCACATAAAACATTACATCAAATATAGGTAAATAATGAATCGAACTAATCAATATATTAAAAATAAACAAATGAAGCCTATCGTCAGTTCAGTTTATTAATTTTATATGCTAAGAATTTATTTCATAGGCTGATTGTGTGATATATGTAATGTTGCTTGCCATTCTTGTAAACCTTTAACTAAATCCAATCGTACATTACGTCAATCTAAGCGCAATCATCCCTTTATGACGTCATTTGTCGTAACACTTTAATACCCACTTACGTCTAATAATAACATGTAGCCACGGCATCGAGGATAGTGTGAAAACAACAAGAATGATCCTATACATTTTAATACGTATACGTTTTCATACGAGAATGTTATAATACCAACAAATAGAATAAACAAATTCAAATAGGTTTTTGCAAAGCTTTGAAACTATCTTCACCTGTCTCTACACCATTATTTTCATGTCTCATAAGACATAGTCTTACTTTACTGATAGTATTATCACAAGACGCAAGTTTTCTTAATACCTCGGTCGTGTCATGTCTTGATTGATAGCGCTATGTATCGAGATAATTTTTAACAGTTATATTGATCGTTCTCACGTGACATGTGACGTCATAGTTCTTGCTACTTCTATTTATTTAGACGAGGAAACGTGTAATATATTAAAGTGTTGAATTACAGACTTCAAGAATTAAATATAAATCTAAGGGCTTGTCCTACCAAATTCTAAATAACAATCAACGTGTAAAACATTTGATGGAAATATCGGATTTTGTTCTTTATCTAAACAGTGACGTCATTTTTAAGCTATCGGAGCCTCTATCAGCCAGTTGTGGGACAGACCCTAATTGTAACATTTATATTGATGTCTCTCATACGTAACTTACTCATTGAATTAATGAAACAAATTGTCAGAAATTTTAAATTAAGTATTTGTATGTTACCTTAACTTGAGATATTTTTTTTAGATATTTTTATACATTTCTTAGTTGTGCTTTTAGTCATATAACTGAACTGTTAAAGATAATCTGCACAGTTTTACTTGGCTTTAGTAAATGCCGCTCAATTCAATTTCAGCATATGCACGAATAATGCTGCATAACGTACTCTATATCCAATAAGCGTTACTTACGCTTAGTTTAACAAATAGCAGTCGTTTTAGCGCAGTTTCTTTTGTTTCTGTTACACGGACCGAAGAAAATAATACATAATAGTGTTAGCGAGATCATTTGTTATTTATGTTTACTGTTATTTTAACATTTATTATAGTTAATATTTTTCAATAATTTAATGAAAATATTAGATCATTTCGCGACTGTAATATTGTGTTCTTGAAAATTTTTAGTTTTTCCAAGACTATGTTTTCTTATTTTATTTGTTTATGGAGCATTTATTTATTATAACTTAATAAAAGTAATTATCTTATTATTACGAAGAATTGTTGAGAATGTTATTTTATTCTTTTGCTATACTTTGTATTCTGTCAAAAATTGTATTGAATTGAACCTTAGCAAATTCCCGGGAGAAGTTTAGGCTTTCGTATTGTGACCTGGATTCGTGTTCCTGTATTTTATTGATCGTTTCCCGACGTTACATTGCACGGGCCGAGCTTCTCCGTGTTCGTATTAAAATATACTCTGCTGTTATACACGCACACTCTCACTCCTGTACTATTATTGTACTATTTTGAAGTTGCTACAACACGCTGTAGATACAGTACTAATTTATCTAATACTTAGACGTAGACCAAACTTTACACATTCCAAAGTCTATTTGAAGAATTAGGAAGAGAAATGGCCCATCCATTGAGTTGAGGTCTGAAACACTTAAAACTATTTTATAATAGTTTGTTTAGTTGAATATTCTAATATAACCTCGCACGACTCTAACAAAGCTAAAATCAGTGGTTTCTAAACGCGAAATGTTTAACAGGCAGAACACGCCCGCCTCTGGGCCATTAACATGAACCACCTACCGCTGTTGCGGAATAAATCGTTCAAATTAAACCGAACTTGCGTAAATTCATTGCTACGCTCAGAAGTTACTAAGGCTCTCCACTCGGAATGTTTATCGAACACCAAAGAAATAAATTTACGTTATTTGATGCGAATATAGTTATTTGCACGTTTGATTAGACAAATAATTTGAAATACGATCAACAAATCAGTCTATGTTAACCAGAAAATAACATTTTAACGTAATTATTAAATGTACGCGAATTTATAATTAATGTTAATTATTTATATGTAACAAGAGCTCTGTAATTTAAAGAAAACATCAGCTTTAGTTCTAACAAGAAATTTAATTAGGTACCTAATGATCGTAGTCTCGAGATAGTCTCACGACCTTTCATTACTGTGACTATTATCTCTGATGGCTAAGGTAAAATATCCTATGATTAGTAATTAGGTTTTCAGTTAACAAAGTTGCTAAGTAACTTATTTAAGTCCTTACACATGTATGACGCACTAAGTAA